TATATAGATGTATCTATAGAATATACCTGTGTATATGCATATATATATATATATATATATATATATATATGCACACAGATGCATATATGCAGATATGCGTGTGTATTTCCTTGTATATTGAATTTCATGCTTAGAACTGTACTAGAACCAGCAAGATTGGTAGAAAGGGGAGTGGTTGAGCAGCAGGAGCAGCAGCGTCACGAAAAGCAGGTATATACTTGCATATTTGTTCTAATGTTTCTTGCCCTGTACACAGTCATGGCTTGTTTGCGCTTCTATTTTTTCGTAGTAGAGACAGCACACATACAATAAACATTTTGGAGTCTTCTGTATGCATATACACTTCACTGGAAACGCTGCAACAGCAAAAACCCGCTCACTTGCTTCAGAGCCTGTTCTCTCCTTTTCTGTCTCATCATTTTTTGTAGCAACTGAACAGACACAAAATATTGTTGCTGGTCCTTTTTCTGCTGCTGCTCATGGTGCTTGTGCAGCCTGTGGTGTTATCCGCTACTGCGTTTCTGGCGCGTGTGCTCTGCTGCAACTGCTGTTTATTTCGCGGCATATACATCCCGTACTGCTTCGGGATCCCGTGCTGCCACTGCTCCTCTTTCTACCCGCACTGCTGCTGTTACTGCTGCTGCTGCTCTGCAGTGGCTTGCTGCTTACCCATTTTGACGCTTGCAATGCTGGAGGGCCTATTGTGCATATTTTGGCTTGCTAGACCTTGCATCCGTCTGCATGCAGCCAATTGTATGAGCAACAACTGCAGGAAGAGCTCCAGGGCCACCTGCAGCCGAACTTGCCACTGCAGCTTGTCAGACATTAACTAGGGAGGCCGGTCGAGCTACCAGCAGCAGCAGCCGTCGCAGCAGNACCAGTCGCAGCAGCAGTCAAAGCAGCAGCAGCAGAGGCAGTAATCGCAGCAAAACCGGCAGCAGCAGAGAAGACCAATATCCTACGCACAATGCAGAGGTTCTTGAAACTCAAGCCTGCTGTGGCACAGACGCAGCAGCAGCAGCAGCAGCAAGAGCAGTACCAACAAGAGCTGCAGAAAATACAACACAACAAACACAACTCTAGGCTGTTCTTGCTTAGCAAACGTTTATTATCACAGTTCGTGTGCGGGTCTTCACAAAAGACATGGCGCTAACTAAGCCCGCCCTTATCAACCCGTTGCTGTTGCTGCTGCTGCCAGAGGTGGTTGGATTCTCCTGAGCCGGCAGAGCTGCTATCCTCTTCATTGAAGCCATTGCAGAAGCAGCACGGCACAACTCAGCAACAACAGCAACAGGAGATGAACCAGCAAGACGCGCGCAGCAACAGCAGTACGACGACAGCAGCAACAACAGAAGGAGCGCCAGCAGCAGCAACAACAAAAACAGCAGCATGATCACTTTTTGCTCCCACTCGACAAGGATTCTGTGGCGGTCGTGCTTCCCTTTGCGTACAACTAAAACGAAGCCCTGGACGAACCAGTCCTTTTTCCTTTGCTTACAAGTCGTTCACACCTTTGCGCTTGCCCCTCCCTGTCTGTCTCAGACTTCTTTCTGTGTCTGGCTCTGTGTGTATCTTTTCTATTTCCCTCTTCTCTACTGCTATGTGTCTCCGTTGCAGCTGATTTCTGGTGCAAGGCGCGGCTGCTGGCTGGCCAGCACCAGCCTCTCCATCCGAAGCACAATTTACGTACTGCAGCACAGACAGCAGCGGCAACAGCAGCAGCAGCAGCATGGCGGAGCCCCACGAATAGAAGTCAACGCATTCATTCATTTCTATGCGCAAGGCCCTCGCGATGCACTAACGTCCTAGTCTGCTAACTGGCGAGGATATATATATATATATATATATATATATATATATATATATATATATATATATATATATGTATATATATATATATATATATATATATATAGTTCCAATGCGTTGACATGCATGCATAGAGCTCTACTTGGAAGCACAGGTGTGTTCAGATGAGAGCGGAGCCACTGAGCATATGCAGTACGAGCAGCTGCTGCGTATTCGTTGTGGTATCTGTGCATACAGAAGACTCCGAAAGCTGCAGAGCCTCCGGTCACCTTATTCGCTCGCTTATAAAGCAGATAAGGAGACCGGAGGCTCTAAAGCACGTGAACGGGTTGTTTGTCGTTTTGTTTAGCAAATGTGCAGACACACAATTCACTGCTGCTGCTGCTTCTGCTGTTGGTACTTTGGCTGGCGCTACTGCTGCTGCTGCTCGTTGTGCGTTTGCTGCCGCTGGCGGTATTTCGGCTGGTGCGTTTGCTGTTGTTGAAGCTGCCGTTAATTTCTCGGCACCCGCATCTAGAACTACTGCGATTTCCCCTTCTGCTGCTGTCCCCCTTTCTCTCCCACTGCTACTGTTGCTGCTGTTGCTGCTCTCTGCTGCTACAGGCGTGCGATCAGGAAGCTCCCTAACATACTGTTGCTGCTGCTGCGTCTGTACTTGAATAAGTAGCGGCTGTATTGGCATTAGCTCCCTTTTCACGAGTATTACACCGGCGGCAGCAGCAGGAGCATCGCCAGCAGCACCAGCAGCATCACTAGCAGCACCAGAAGAGCGTCATAATCGCAAGTATTGCCAGAAGCAGCATCGTCAGCTGCATTATGCTGCGTCCTTTGCCCAGTAAACTGGGTGGAGGCAATCTACTCAGACAAACCAAACGACATAACATAATGTTCACATCCGTTCACCCAACACAAACAACACCCCAACCGGTGGGCCTCAGAAGAATGGGGGCCACCAAACGCATCACGGTGCTCCCCGATCATAAGGAGCAACAGATTGTTCAAGAATTACCTAGGATGTCTGCGAATACGCCAGACGGCGCATATGGTTGCACTTCTATGGGAGGTTGCCTTTCATGCATCCTGGGAGAGAATCTTTGGGCCGTTGGGTACTGCGTCGAGCTGGTTCTAATAGCGGCATTCCTACAGAAGTTTTAGTAGGCACTAACCGCTGCCTGGACCGTTTTTCCAGCAGACCCTCAAAAACCAAACTAGAGCGTTTCAAAGGCTCTTCAACGTCCCTTCCTAGGGGAGCTCTCCTGTGCTAGGTTCTTTAGGTACAATAGCCAAATAAGCAGTATATTCGTTTGTAGACTAAGAGAGTTTATTTTTTTGGAAAGTAGCGCCATTACGGCCCGAACAAAAGAACCAAGCCTTCAAGGCAGGGTTATCCAGATCCCCCTGGCATGTGGATAAGAGCAGAACCTTGGAGAGCAATTTATCGCTCGTTTCTTATTGCTCTACAGCCCCATTGGAGCAGTATTTACGGTAAGTGGAGACTACAAAACACCCAACGGACCAACTGAAAATGCCTGTTACCATTCGAGCAAATTAATCCCTATTCATGCGCTCTCGCGTGTTGTACGTCGGTCTGTAGAGCAACGCGAGGATCTTCGCGTTGCGTCTGTTCCACGACGTGCTCGTGCAGCAGCAGCAGCAGGTGCTGCTGCTGCTGTACTTGTGCAGACTTTTTTTCGGGAGGAGCCGTTAAGCGGGAAGAAGAGTGCCAACCTCTCCCCGTCACATCCACCCCCCAACGCCAACGAGCTACAGGTCTGCCCATGGCGGGTACTGGTAACTGCACCACACACCGCGCCACCTCAAACGTTGAAAGAGGTAGCAGCAGCAGCAACCGCAGCAGCAGCAACCGCAGCAGCAGCAACCGCAACAGCAGCAACCGCAGCAGCAGTAACGGCAGCAGCTGCCGAAACAGCCCATGCCCTATATACAACAAAAAAGGCAGTCTTTCGTGCTGTTCGCAGCGGCGAATATCACGAAAGACTGCGTTTTCTGTTGCATTAGCAGGAACTTCTCCTGCTGCAGCTCAGCGCGGCCTGTTTGCTGTACTTGCGGGCCATTACATCGTCCCCTTAACAGTCTCAAATAGCTCATCTCCCTCTATTAATTTCCCCGTATTTTATATATTGTGGTTATTCAGCAGTTCAGCTCAACAAAAACCACAAGTACCCACTCGGCCTGCATGCGACCGCACAGCCGACGGCGCGTTTTTGCATAGGGCCCCTTGGAGGCCCTCGACATGCGCGCGTACAGCTGGTGGTAGCTAGTTGTTCTGCTGTCTCTCCACTCAAAATAAAAATTCTCAACACACTAAGGAAAGGATAACACAACAGTAACAGAACAACGGGCTACTCATTTCTTCCGTAGGCCGTCTGTCCACCGCAACGTCAACTTCCTGTCTGCAGCTCATCGATAATAGCCCGCGAAGACACTTCTTCAGGAATCCAGTAGGAGGAAACTGTATCTGCTTACTGATAAGCATTTTATCGCAGCTTTAGTTGCTGCAGCTGCCGCTGCTGCCCAGCCGGGACCCTTTGGAATGCCCCTGCTCACTGGGGGCCCCTTTCGCTTCTTCTTTCGCCGTTGCAGCTGCTGCCTTTGCCTCTACTGCCGTATGTTTCAAATTTGCATCACATAGAGCTTGGGAGAGAACTAAGTTCTCTTCCTGAATGCTGAGGTAGGCAACCGGGAGGCCAACACCCCTGGGTTGCGGCTTCCCACCCGCTGCAGCAGCTGTAGCAAGCAGCAGTAGGAAGCCCTTCAAGGAGGGATGACACGATCGACATGCAGGACACCTGCTGCCTAGCAGCCGCCGCATAGCAGCAGCAGGACCCACAGCTTCCGCAGCCGCAACCCGCACCACTAGAGCCCTTGCTGCAGCGCGTGAGGATGCCTGTGTCTGGGGGGCCCTTTTCTATGGGCCCTGTGTCTCCCAACGTGGGAACGAGTGGAGGATCTGATCCCCAGCGAGGGGCCGTTCCTGGAGGCGGCGGGGGGCCCCTCGCGCGGCATGTGAAGCGGAAGTTGGCGGGGCTGCTGGACGGCTGGCGGCGCGTTAAGAGTTTCCGGCTTTTTCTCGAGCCTGTAGACACAGAACAAATGGAGTGCCCCACGTACTATGATGTCATCAAACACCCCATGGACCTACGCACTATGGAGGTATTAAACCCTAAACGCTAAATACTGAGTATCTAGTATTTACCGTAATCTTTTGTTATTTTGGACTCAAGGAGGAGGGTTTAGGGTTTAGTATTTTGTATTCAACCCTAAATCCTCCTCATCCGCAACGGAGCACACACCCAGATATGCACACATACACACATACATGATTGCGGGTTTGCGATAGAGAGAACCAATGGTGTAGGGTTTAGGGTTGAGCGCTTAGGATGTGTGTGTCTGTGCTGGGGATGCAGGCCAAGCTGGAGCGAGACGAATACAGAAGCGAAGAGGCCTTCGTTGCCGACTTGCTGCTCATATTCCGCAACTGCCGCACGTCAGGCGCTGCACCGACCCACCACACAACAGCAGCAAACGATAGAGCCGCAGCAGAAGCTTGCTTGTGTTGCAGTTCCCCTGCTACCTATTCTCTCTAGACTCGTTGCTGCAGGGAAAATATGTGGCAGCAGAAGTGAAACAGCAACCGCAGCACGGATAGCAGTAGCAGCCGCAGCAATCTGCTGCATTTTGCAAGGCATTTAGATATGAAATATTCAAGTATAGGGTTTGGGGTGTAAGGATTAGGGTTTAGTCTATGTGGGTGTGCAGATTCAACGACGAAGCGACACCAGCGGGACAATTTGTGCTGCGGCTTTGCGCGGAGGCGGAGGCGCGGAGCCTTGAGGACTTGAAGAAAGCATGCAAAGACTCGAAGGTAGCTCGTCCCATCATTGTTGTTACTGGCGCTGCAGTTGCTACAGCTGGTGCCGTTGCTTCTGACTAAGCGAAGAGTCTTGCTGCTGCTGCTGGTGTTGCTGCTATTCGCGTTGTGGCTCTGCCGTTTATTTCCGCGGCAGCGCCACTCGTAGGAAGGCGCATGAACAGCAATCCTGCAAAAGCTTTATGTGAAACTGACTTCCTATTGTTTCTGCTGCTGCTGCTTTTGCTGCTGCTGCTCTTGTTGCTGCTGTTGCTTCTTTGGGATATCTTTTCAGCTCTGGACTGCGCTTGAGCAGCAGTTCTCTCACGGAAAGCAGAAAGCGGGGGCGCGCCAGAAGAGCGGGGGGGCCTCAAAGCGGGCGGTTTCTGGGGTTCCCTCGGCTCCTGAGTCTGCGGCGCCTGCGGCAGCAGCAGCACCACCAGCAGCAACGGGGGTTGCCGCTTCTGCTACTGGCCGCCCAGGAGCAGCTGACCACCATCCTCCCCCTCTGAGCTACGATGGGGTGGGCAGAGACACCATGGGGGCCTCTCCTGGGGCGCCTTGTATGAACGGGCTCCCGTACAGCGGCTCGCCTGCCGCAGGAGAGGACGCAGCACCAGGAGCAGGAACAGACGAAGCAGCTGTGTCCGAGAAGCTTGAAGGGGGTCCCGCTGCTAGCGACAAAGTCTCTGAAACGACGCAGCAGCAGACGTCTATCTCAGGTCTCCCGGATGTTGTCTCTCCCCCCCGCAACCCGCTGACCCCTGCAGCAACCGGCAGCCATAGAGGCCCGTTGCAGGCGAACTGGCAAGTTGAAGGGGGACCCGCCATGGCTCAGGGTGAGCGTCTGTGTTAGCGCGAGGGCAGTAGCGGCCCCTTGGGTTTCGGGTTCACGGGGGTTTGAGGTTTGTTATTTTTTAGATTCGTATTATTATTATTATCGTGGTGTTTGGGGCATATATGTTTCAGCTTTGTCTCGGTTTAGGGTCACGAGGGTTTAGGCGGACCATGTTCTTGTTTTTTGGGGTTTAGCCAGGCCAGCGTTTAGGCTCTAGGCTGGCTGTAGCCTGGAGGAGTCTGTCGGAACGTTCCTCACGTTGCTGTAACTGCTGCTGCTGCTGAAACTGCCGCTCCTGCTGCTGTTGCTGCTTCTTGACGGGTGCTGCAGGCATGCTGGACATGGAAAACTGCCTTACGGGGAAGAGTTGGTACATCTACTGCCGGGACAACGTACGTCTTGTGGTGCTGCAATATCGCAGCGCGTGCAGGCCTGCTTCTGACAACCTGCTGCTGCTAGTCTGCTGCTGTTTTTTTTCCTTTCGTGCCCTGCGTAGGCGTTGTCGCCCACGAACGCATTGCTGCTGCTGGTGAATGCTTGCCGCTTCACGTGCTGCTGCTGTCTGCTGCTGCTGCTGTTGGTGCGGAATCTGTATAGATCCTGAGACCTCTGAAGGGGGACCGCTACGCTTACTTGTTTCTAACGCCCGTCCTGGACAGCCCCGAGCTGCCCGATGCGGTGAAGACTTCCTACAAGTCGGTCATTGCAAGACCCATGGATTACGGCACTATCTGGGTATGTTGACTCTGCAGCAGCAGTTGCAGTCAGTACAGCAGCAGGAACAGCACGAACACCTGCTGCAGAGGCACGATTCAAACAACCAGCATCTCATAGGAATGACCGCTGCACGAGCAGGCTTGCTCCTTGCTACGGCAGAGTCTAGCTGAATAGTAGCTCTTCTCCGTCTGTGGCGTGGCGTCTATACAATTCGCAGACCAAACTGACAGCCAGGGATTACCAGCACCCTCTAGAGTTTTTTGAGGACATGTTCCTGGTAAGCTACAGCAAGAGGAGAAGCAGCACAAGTCACTGCAGCAGCTGCAGCAGCTGCAGCGGCGGCCGCAGCGGGGTGCTTCCTTAGTGAGACAATGGGCGCTGCTTCTGCCTTTGGTTCATTCAGCATCAACGGTAGTCGACGCGTTTCAGTTGACTGCTGCTGCTTCAGCCACTTGTAGCTCTTGCTGTTGCTGCTGGCGTTGCTGGTGCTGCCGCCGCCTGTAGCTGTTGCTGTTAAGGGTGCGGCTGCTGCGATCACCTTCAGCTGTTGCTGATGCTGCGGCGGCAACTTGTAGCTCTCGCTGCTACTACAGCTGCGGCCACTTGTAGCTGCTATTGTTGCTGTTGATGTTGCTGCTGCTTCAGGTGTATTCGAACTGCATGGCTTTCAACCCCCCCAACGACCAGCAGTGCGGCTGGCTGCATCGCGTCGCGGAGAGGAGCCGCGACAAGTTTGTAGAGAGGTAAAGAAGTGCCACAAGCCCTCGACTCTGATTATCCCTCTGCCGAAGCAAACCCTAGACCATGAAACACTAAACTCGAAACACTAGGCCCTAAAAGGATTGCAATAGACGAGTGAAGCAGAGAAGGCTTTGGGGCTCCATGCGTTTCTGCAGGTGGCGCCGCTGGGTGGTGCGCATATGGCGTGCCTTCGCGCAGCACAACGCAGCAGCTGCGGCAGCGCCGTCGCCCGCGCTGCAGCATGCCGAAGCAGCAAAGGCAGCAGCCGCAGTGGAATCCGAACCTGCTATTGCTGCAGGACTAGCTGCAGCCCGCGCCGAGCTTCTGGATCGGCGACAATCCCATTCAGCAATGCCTTTCCCGTTGCCGCAGCAGCAACTCCAGCAGCAAGCCGAGCACAGCCCTGCGCCCCTGCAACATCCCCAACTGCAGCACCCGCCGGTGCAGCACCACCGTGGCCGCGATGAGCCTCAGGACACCGTACCAATGACAGCAAGTGCTGCTGCCGCAGCCAAGGATCCGAAGTATAGGTGTGTGAGCATTCCCTTGGGGCGCTGCTGTAGTCCTACTGCGCCTGCTGTGCTGCTCCTCATGTTGCTGGGTCGGCGGATTGACCTCTTTCTTGCTGCAGGGCCCTTGTCGTTGATCTGCTGGGAGAGGACGCACTGGAAGATGCAAGCAACAGTTCTTTAGATAGGGGAGCTACAACTCAGGAGACACTGCAACAGCAGCTGCAACAGCTGCAGCAGCAGCAACAGTTGCTCCAGCATGAGCACCTGCAGCTGCAGCAGCAGCAACTGGAGATGCAAGAGAAAGAACAGGAGTTAGCTCGCGCGTCAGCAGCAGGGGAGGGCCCTATTCATTCCGAAAATATTGCTGGCATGGGATCTCTGGGCTCCTCTGATGTGCAGCAACAAGAGCAGCAGCAGCAACAGCAGCTGCCAGTCAGTGACCCAGCTGGTGAGCATTCTGCTGCTGTTGCTTCTCCGGGGGCACCTGCTGCAAGTTCTTCTGGAAGCGATGCTCCTTTTGAGCTGCAAGGGGATGCAGGAGCGGCTGAAGCAGGGGATGGTGCTGTTGCAGCAGCAGAGGGAAAAAAACACAAGGGCAAGAAACAAAAACACCATAAACATATGCACCGAAGTCAGCAGCAATTGGTGCAGCAGGACGTGCACAATGTACAGCTGGCGCAAGAGGCTTCTTCAGCCTTCCAGCAACCTGGTGTGTTGCAGACTATCCATCAAGCGGACTCAGCTGCTGCTCAGGGCTACAACGCTGCTGCAGGAACGGATGAAGCAGCACCAACACCAGCAGCAACAGGAGCTGCTCCCTTCACAGCTGCTCCAGCAGGGACTCCACGCGTGGATTCTCCGAGTATTCCTCCTGGGCCCGCTGAACTGTCTTCTGCCTTGACGGATGCCTTTCCTGCTACTGTCTCAACGCAACACGATGCAGCAGCAGCGGCAGCAGCAGGAGCAGCCGCAGCTACGCCACCCGGAAATGCTGCAGCTAGCTCTATTCTGCCCGTTCCGTCCCTCGGAGATTCGCCTCGACTCTGCGACATCATCGAGGCTCCCCCAGTTGAGATTCTGAAGGCCATGGGGGTCAAGGATATGTCTGCCCTTCCGGCTGCTGCAGCTCCTGCTGCTGCTGCTGCTCCAGTATCTACTAGCCCTGCGGCTGTCCCGTTGGCTGCTGCTGATGCAACTCTTACGGGGCTTCCGCCAGCGGCTGATACTACTGCTGCAGTGTCTACAACATGGCTAGCAGGGGGGACCCCCTCGCAACTGTCTGTTGCTCCAGGTGCTGCTGCTGTTGCAGCAGCACCCACAGCAGCAGCAGCAGGCGTCAGAGTCGCTGCTGGTGTTGAGCCCCCATTGCTGCTACAGCCCGTTGATGGGGTGATTAGCGCCATACAAATGCAGCGTTCAGCAGGTTTGCACGACCTCCAGCAACAGCAGCAGCAGCTCCTGCTACAGCAGCAGGCAACCCGGGAGGACTTGCTCCCTCCCAAGCTTCGCATAGTACTGGAATCGGCACGGAGGAAGGGACCGCCTCCTCGACTGCTGCTGTTGCCTTGGAGAGGCAGAGGCACCGGCCCCATCCCTGAAGGCTATGCGGTAAGCGCTCCAGGACCAGTAGCAGCAGCAGAAGCAACAGCAGTAGGAGCAGCCGCAGTATCACCAATCACAGGTCAGCTCTGCATTGCCTGCTAGCGTTGCCACTGTTGTTTTTGTTCGCAGCGACAGCGTCCTAGCGCATCCTCTGGTTCTACAGCTGCAGCTGCTGGTTCTGCTGCTGCTGCTGCTTCCTCGGGTGAATCGATAGCAGTGGAACCGTCAGGAACCACTGACATATCTGATCGCAGTGTGAAGAGAGAGACGACACAAGCGGACTCTGCGGCAGCTTCGGC